TCAAACCGCACCAGGAACGAAAGATAGGCTATAGCACCGTCACTTTTATTGTAATGGAAACTTGTGGACTCGATCTTGAAGTCCTGACAGGCTGGAGTTTTTGCAATCTCCACAAACACAATAATTTACCATGACGATGATAAATTAAAATGCAAAAACTAACGAAAGCACACTGACTGACGAGCGCTCTCACTGAACACCAGCCTACTCTGCACTGAGCCGAGGCTGCGGCTCCCTGATATGACGTCAAATGACGCGATGTTGAAAAAAAAGCGTTTTTTACTAGCAGTCCAAGAAACGCTCACTTTATCTTCTAAATTAGTGCCCTTATGTTGTTTTAAAACATTTTAAATCCTGCATTAACTTTGCATATGGTATTTTCATACAAGGTTATCTATAAATTTTGATTTTTTTTTAACCTGCAATATGCTCTTTAATAGTAAAATCCGGTCCCATTTTCCCGTGGTGTCTGTTATTGCTAAGCATCCATGCACTGCGCTCTCCACAATGACAAAGAAGTTAATGGAACTGGACTGTAAAAGGAAGCATAACGCTTCCTTTTACAGTACAGTATACTTACTTAGAAAGTACTGGCTATTATAAGGTAAGTAGGCTACATGGAACAGATGTAGGTTTAGGGGTAGGGGCTTTTATAAGAGTAAATGTATAATAAACTTAATATATTATTATATTATATGAATATATTAGGGGTGTAAATCGGGGCCTGCATGACGATTCGATACGATACCGATTTCTTAAGCCAACGATTCGATTATTTTCGATACTTCAAAATTCCCCACGATACGATTCGATTAATACTCAATATTTTTACATGATATCTATTAAGTTTCAAATAACTAAAAAAAATGTATATTTTGCCTTTTATTGAGAATACAGAAACAGTATTCTATTCACAGTGTGCATGTTGTGCTCAAAGCACTGCAAATAGAACAGTTACTGCATCTACAGTTACAATAAAGTGCCATCAGATAAATTGTAATTAGAACAAAATAAAAATAATGAAGTGTAATTCTTACAGTGCAGGTCTACTATATGGCCAATTAGCCTATTCACTGTTAAAACAAACAAACAGACTGACCTCTACAGCCTAAATTTCAAATACATCAACCCTGCAGTTATCCGGATAATAAGTGTTCTGATCTTACCGATTCCATTTACACCTGGCCACATAAATGTGTTTTTGCAAAATGGATATAAATCCGATCTTCAAGTCCCGCGTTATATGCAGATTTAATGGATTGCACGCCACCAAAAGCAACAAATATGAGCTGCATTTTATTAATCAGCTAATTTCAAAATCAAAGACAGCAAAAAGAGAGAGTGGCAACAGCCCTGGTAAGAGATAATTTCTTTATAGATTGTTTCTTTATTTGAAGATGATTGTGCGTTAAGCGTCTGTGACTTACTTTCACTTTCATTTACGATGTTTGCACTTTGGCTTGATGAATAGACGCTCTGCTCATCTGCGGTGATGCATCGCAGTAGCACCGTCATATCTGACTATAACATGACATATAGCCTATAACACGCTCTCACTCGTTTATCTTTTAGCATTTTTGGGAGGAGTAAAATATACATATGTGGTTTCAACAACCAGATTGTGTTTACACCTAGATCCAAACACAATGCGAGCCAGACTACCTCCAGATGTGGTCAGGCAGATCCGATCACAACGTATTTACACCTTGCATTAACATGCGTTTTTTATTATCCGGATAACTTATCTGGACACAGATCGCATTTTAATATCAGGAGTAAGCTAAATGGGGTCTCAGTTTCAGCGCGCTGTGACTGTTCCATTGTTAAAGTCAGACTCAACAACGTGTGTGTGAACCCTGTGAACGTGAAGCGTATAACGCGTGTGAATTACAACAATAATGAGGTTAGCCCCACCCGCAGCTTAGCAGTAGGTTGCACGCACATGTCGGACCAGATGCTGAAAATAGACAGGCGGCAAAAATAAACGCATTAATCGATTCTCTTGCGCACGCATCGATGCATTGAATCGTCGGCTGTATAATCGATGCAAATCGATTAATATTTACACCCCTAATTATTACACCACGATAGCACTACTAAAAAGTATGACATTATCCGGTTTTTGGCCATACATTAATTTATAGGCTACAAAAACACGCTTCAGAGCGTCGGCGCACTGGTTAACAGGTTAAATAAGCTATCATTGTCCACAGTTTATGAAATGAACACACGCCATCCCGCGGTAATATGTGTATATTGCGCAGTGGCATAATCACACGAATAGTTTACATTGAAACTAATTTGTTTAAAAAGGAGGCTATTGCAGTAACAACGCAGGTTCACATAAAATCATTATAACATGACATTTTTTGATCTAACGAGTATTGGCGAGGCAAAAACAGACTGTCGTGCATATTGTTTTTTACTTCTTACAATTAGCCTACTATGTAAAAAAAAAACAACAACATGAAAACATGTTACTTGTTCAATTAATAAACAGTTTGTTTTATGTCAAATCGCTAAAGACGAAATTGGCCTCCCTTTCTGTCATTGCATTTTTTTTGTTTCGTTTTATATTAACATTCGACTTTTGCTCTGATTGTCGAATGGCATTTTGAATGGTCGAATGGCCTACGCGAGGCGAACTATTCTCAAAGACTTACTTTTAGTCATTTGGGTAGCACACATATTCGGAATTAGCCGGACTACGTCAGACTTCCTACTTCCGCTAATTTCATTTCGCTTCTGTAGTGAGTCTGAGATAGCAGCCTATCTTTCAGTTTTCCACCGGCCTGAAAACAGCTGGCCAATCAACAAACAGAGGGCGGGCTGAGAGCCGTGACGTAGACTCTAAGCGCCGAGTTTTACATTGTAGTTAGAGAAATCGAAAACCGAAACAACCGCGGAAATGGGAAACAAAACAAGGGATGAAATTCGCTCTGTTATGGGGAACATTCCGGGGTTTTTCAAACTGAAGCAAAAGTCGTTTACACTTACATGGCTGTAAGTGTAAACGACTTTTGCTTCAGTTTAAAAAACCCCGGAATGTTCACTCCGGTATTTCGCTCACATCATCGGTGTTTACTGATGGGATAGGACCAGCGCGTGCACTTCTGCCGCTCTAGGCAAAAAACAATTTTGCTGCCTCTCTATTTGCAACGTATACCAGCAAAAACCAGCATGCTTGGCCATTATGTAGCTTGCACAACGCGCATTCACTTTTGATTCTCTCGTCAACACAGATGCAGCCGTTTTTATTTTTGCAAATCATTATAACAAGGAAAAATATTAACACTTCAAGCTTAGGCATTTAGGCTACCCAATTTTTTCAGGCTAATTGTAGTAATGACGGATCAGACCTGTTTGGCCATAACTATATGGACATAACTTACCCCCATTCAATTTCAGTTCTCCGTCTTTTACGGCCATGACAAGAACGTCGGTCTCCTCGGCTGTGAACGCTCCTGGTGCGCTTTGATTATCATATTATTATTATCATAATAATAACAACAATCCACCATATTTCGTTTCGACATCCCGCTGCATTTGTCCCAGATATGTGATTCATGAACGATCTGTTCATTGTGTATGTCACGTGACAAATGAACGCAAGACTCGGAAGGTAAAGTGATTGTTCCCTGTAAATAATTTTTTTACTGCATTATGATTTCTTAATTCAGAATATGAATAACATTGCGTAGGTGGATGTGATCGGGGAATTTGGCTGTTAAAATTATAACATTAAGCCACTTAAATAAACGAAATGACTCGAATGACTCAGAGAATCAGTAAAATGAACTTCCTATTCATGACTCGCGAGAGCAGCGGCTTGGTCTCGCCCTCGAAGCGCTGCGGGGTGGCGGAAGCTAAATCATTCATGACTCGTGAAAGCAGGGCACGTCGACGTTGCGGGGCGGCCGCAACTCAGTAATTCATATAAATAACCTAGTTTGTAAATTGTTCATTCCCGGTTGGCACACATTTTGCAGCCCTTACAAAAGCGCCACTCTCTGTTTACAGAGAAAGTTCGATCATAGATTTGAGTTCGATGCATAATGTCTCGATACGGCCGTGTCGGCGCATAACATACGTCATAAATAAACTTATCTGATTGGCTTACGAGTTAGCTATGATTTTAAACTTCAGAGAAGCGCCCCCTTGCGAGAGAGAACACTTCTCTATTATGCCATTCCAGACTCGGACGCCAGACTCCAGCCGACACGCAGTTTTATTTACCACACACACATACACTGAAGACACACGTGTGACGCTTGGGCTGTTTTTTGAACTTCCTCACCAGGCTCTAGATCCACTCTGAAAGTCAATTCGTGATCAGTTCACCACTTCATTTGTGAAACTATCATCATGACGATCATGACAAACTCACAGAAACTCCAAAGGGCTTCACGGCAACCAGTCAAAATAAAAGTTTGGTTAAACTTGACAGAAATATATTACTGTTGTACAGTAGAAAGTGCAGATGTAATAATACATTAACACTAATACGAATAAATTATACATTTTTTAAACAAAACTTAACAAGGAATTATTCATGTTTATTGTGCAGCACATTTGACAAAAAGTTTGATAAAATTAGTGTTTTATGGCTTAATTTTATTACTAGCAAAAACAGAATTATTGTTTTTTTTATACATCTATACATTTAAAAAAATTAATACATGATTTGAATTATTATACATTCTTTTTGACGTCTAATAATAAAAAAAATTACATGCTCGCTCCGCTACAGTAGCAGGTAGTGTACTTTTATCCCCCTAAAAAAAAAAATCCTAGGGGAAACACTGTGTATATACACACACACACACACACACACACACACACACACACATATATATATATATATATATATATATATATATATATATACGTGTGTGTGTGTGTGTTTGTGTCTTTTTAAAGTAATTTTAAAGGCTATTGTTCACTTGGATTTATTTTTAATCACCATGGTTTAACCGGTTTTCTGAACGGCCGTCACTGACCTCTCCGTTTCCCAGAGGGACACTGATGACCACGTCCTCCCCGCCGCTGGCGATCGGCGAACCGTTGACCGACATGCTGTAGATCTTCTCCCTGTGATGCGCAAGTCTCAATCCTGGAGTCTTTGGCAACCTGACAGACAAAACACGAGCTTCAATTATTCCCGTATTATGCAGATCATCACAGGACCACTGGGGAAAAGGCTTATAGCTCAGATATAAACACTGATGCAGTGATCAAAATCAACTTTTGAAAAAAACTTGACGCTTCAAATAATTGTCTCAATTACTTTGTTACACCAGCAGGTGGCGCCAAGCGACTTGTCATTGAATCATTAATTTAGATTCCTTCAAAAACACTGATTCATCCAGTAATGAAAGTGAAGTCTTTACGAGAGTCATTGAATCATTAATTCAAACAGATTTTTTTTTTAAAAGTAACCTTTAAATCTATGAATGTTTAACTGCAGGAATTAACATTTTGGCAGAACCTCTATCAAATTACTATTCAGAATTTGTGATTCATGCTGCTCGAATACAAACACATCAATCCTTAATGTCATGTTTCCCATACTTTGATCATATTCATTTGTATACAATTGTTATTTAGATTTCGATGAGGACTTCTGAGAGCATGTAAAGCTGAATGTGAAATGTGATCGCACGTTTAGTTTGAGCAGCTTTATTGAGGTTTTCATACATCACTTACCTGATTCACAGGACATTTTATTCACATATGGTAAAAACATGCTTTGTCTATTGACAGCATGTTCTGATAAAAAGATAATCCAAAATACTAACTCAATAAAACATGGACTTATTAGCACAATGTTCAGATTTCAGTTTTAGTATGCAGATTTAATCAGATACTGCCTCATTTGCAGTGGTGGAATGTAACGAAGTACAAATACTTTGTTACTTTACTTAAGTACATTTTTCACATATCTTTACTTTACTCAAGTAGAATAAATAGTGCATACTTTTTACTTCGTTACATTTTGCAGCAATTATTATACTTTCTACTCCACTACATTTCTACAACTTCTGTTAACATTTTCATTACATTTTCTGATCAGTTTTTCCCCTGCCAAAACGTAATCTGACCGTTGCACGTTTGTCTCACCAGTGACGTTTGGTTGCCATAGATACATCAACCCGGTCACACTAAATGCGTCTTTCATGCAGTACGTTTATCGTGCGATTTATACGCGAAAATTTGTCTGTACGGGCATAGGAAACGCACCGTGTGTAATATACGTTTGGTTAGGATTATGGCAAGCCAAGAGGTTCAGAATTACACCATAAATTAATCGCGTTTACTGCCAAACATAGTTATTAACATATAGTAAGGATAAGCATGATGTGTATATTGCCTAATTGCAAGCTTGTTTCAGAAATGGTGACATTTTTTTTTCCATCATTATTGAACATCATTATAGGAGTATTAGGTTGAATGAGTTAGAATTAAATGTTTTATTAATCATTAGAAAATAGACATTAAGAGAATAAATTGTTATGCAAGTACTTTTACACAAGTAAAAAGTACCTGATTTTAAATGTACTTTAAGTATTAAGAGTAAAAGTACAAATAACCAGATAAATATTTACTTTAGTAAAAGTAACACAATGACAACCATACTTAAGTACTGAGTGTTACGTCCTGGGGACGTATTATTATGAAAAGTGTTTTTGATTTGTATTTTACTTTGTTAAATTGCTGTGTTTGTTGTGCTCTGTCAGTCTCTCCCTCACTCTGATTGCATTGCAGCTAATTAGCCACACCTGAGGCTCGTGGAGAGTTGCGGAGCTGCACTATAAGGCCCCGTCCACACTACTGCGTTTTCGTTTAAAAACGGAGAATTAAAACGAATACGATCTCCGTCCACACCAGCGTTTTATCTGCGTATTAGAAACGATCTCCGTCCACATTAAAACGACTGAAACCGCGGATCACGTGACCATTCACCAACACTGGGCATGCGCGTGCCGGTGTAAACAGTGAATGACGAATCAGGGAAGGAAACGTCATGACTGATAACACCCAATCATAGAGCCAAGCGTCAGCCTCTGCATCAGCGTTTCTGAAGTTCTCCGTTTTGTCTCGTCCACACTAAAACGCCCTCCGGAGATTCAAAACGCAAAACGCAGCTGCAGCGTTTCTAAACTTCTCCGTTTTAGGTCTTCGTTTTTCCCGTTTTAGTGTGGACGGGAGGTGCAAACGTAGCAAAAGGTCTCCGTTTTTAAACGAAAACGCAGTAGTGTGGACGGGGCCTAAGAGAGCAGAGTGAACATGGCTTGAGGAGGTTCACTTCTCCCCTGCACCAGACTTGTGTTGTTGTGTATATGGAGTGCTAAGCTGGTGTATTGACCTGGGGCCTGTTTCAGAAAGGAGGTTAAGTGAAAACTCTGAGTATGTTAACCCTGAAATGAGGGAAACTCTGGGTTTTCCGTTTCAGAAAGGGGGGTATATCAAACCCGAGAAAGCAGAGTAAGTCAAGCCCGTTTCTGAAAGAGAGGTAACTTATACTCAGAGTCAGTTACCATGGTAACTTACTCTGTGAACCTAACCTGGTCAGGAGCAGGTTTTCTTCAGTAAACCCAGAGTTTCTTGCGGTCTCCTCCCCTTTTTTAAAGAGGAAGTGCTGTTTAAACACCAACAATAATACTAAAATGTATTTACACATTCTTTAAGGAATATATATATATATATATATATATATATATATATATATATATATATATTGTTTGTCCATGGTTTAATTGACTAAATCTGTTTTGCAGCACTTTGCCAAAAAATAAAAGGATTAAAACATTTTCTAAAGTTTTATTTGATTACCACTGTTTTGGATAATATATTTCTATTAAATCATTGAAAAAATTGTAATAAAATTTAATTATTCATGTTATTCAAGTTATTCATGATAAAAAATAAGATGTCAATCATAATCATAATCAATTATTGAAGTTAGTTGATATTATGTTTTATTGAACAAATGTTTAATTTATTTAACTGTCATTTTAACTGATGAAAATAATAACCGTAATTTAATAATGCAGTTTATATATTTAACAATTGTTTAATACCATAAACCGTGATATTTTCTGAGACGGTTCTCATACTGTGAAACTCTCATACGTTACAACCCCACATGGGGGAGTCCCCCACCCCACCCAACCCCCGCTGTTAAACAAGTTACTCAGCAACTTTTACTCATGTTTTAAATTAACTACTTTTTACTTGAGTAGATTTTTAAGACTGGTATTTTTACTTTTACTTAAGTAAAAATGTATCAAAGTAATAGTAGACTACTTTAGGTTGAATAACATTCTTCCAGTTTCACCTCTGATATTATAACAGTTACTCTAAAATAGTTATGAATTATTAACAACAAATGACATCTTCAACGGTGTAGTTAGATTAATGTAATAATTACTATCTCTAGAAAGTATTGGTCTACATATTACTAAATCCCATATCAACCTCAACCACTTGATTAATACAAGGAGAAGAGACAAGAAACTGCACGTTTAATGCTTTCAAATTAACAATATACAATTGCATGAATTATTCTTGAATTGATCAAAGTGTGTAGAGGGAGAAGGTTATATAAAAATATACCTTTTAAAAATGTATGCTAAATCCACTATTGTTTTATACTGAATTGGTCTATAGTTTATGCAGTAGCCTATTTAATGTAATTGCATCATATTTTATTTTAAATTAAAGAAGAATTAAGAGTAATACCTTTAATTAAATTACAATATTTAGATTACTTGGTAATTAATTATACCCAACACCTCTTTTTGTCTGGCGCTGTTGCCATGGTGACTCGTAATATCTGCGCTCCATTGATAATGGCTTTTTATAGCTGTGGTGCACGCGCTTAACTCAGAGTCAGTCAACTCAGAGTTGATTGAACTAACTAATTTCAGCTGTTCTGTAACCGAAAACTCGGAGTTTCCCATCTCAGGGTAAGTCAACTCTGAGTTCAAGCTTTAACTCAGAGTTGGTTGAACCTCCTTATTGAAACGGGCCCCTGGTCTGTGGAAGACTACTCTGTCTCTGTGTGTACACGTTGCTGTTCAAAGATAGCAAGTAGGGTTGCTTATCAAGTCGTGACAAGTTCTTTAAGGATTTCTTTATAACTCTGTTCTGGTAACTAAAAGGTATTGTATAGAAATCTTTGCATTTGTTTTCTTTTATTTCTTTTGGGGAACGGTAGGGAGACCGAGTCATCTTTTATTTTATATCTCATTATTTCCTGTTTTTGGTCAGTCAGGGAGTAGAGGGAAGCACATGTTGTTTATTTCTTTTTCTTTTACCTGTATAGGTTATTTAGTTCTGCTCAAACAGTAAGAACCTTTTTGTTTGTTGTTTTGGTGGCCATCTCCTGAAGATTGCATTCCCCCATTATTTTCTTTGTTTAAATACAATAAATCTTTTCATTGATGATATCCAGTGTTGACTCACATTTCTGGGGCAGAGGATGAAAGGGAACCCTCCACGCTTGTGTTTAAGCTTTACTTAATTTTTATTTAAGTTTGTTACCCTCTCCCAACCCTAGACTGGGAGTAGATCGTAACACTGAGATTCAGTACTTCCTCCACCACTGCTCATTTGCATATTAAAAATACAAAACTGTCTTAAATGCACAGTAATTGCATTGCATTGAAAATGCAAAACATATATTTAATTAATATAATTAAAAGCCACACGATGTGCAGTCCCTGACCTGGGGTCGAAGCGCGGCGTGATGAGTGGCGTGGAGCCGATGACCGAGGCTTCAAGGAAGCTTCTCGCAGGAGTGATCAGGGGCTTCCTTGTAGATCTGCGAACAGAAAGCAAGCGGATTGAGAAGTGAACACTGGCTTCTGGGAGGAAAAGCGTGATGATCTGGGGTGGAGCAGACCGGACCCCACGCGATTCCAAACTAATAGGGAAATTGCATGTGAAACAATTTTAACAGCGAAAGAGGCGAAACTCGGGACTCGCGCGTTATCTGTGCGCACAGCCAGCCAGCCACACACTCTCAAAGAGAGAGAATTGAATTCACGTTGACTTGCCATAAATTGTCATAATACAGTCTCGTTAACCATTCACTAGTTTATGTCAGAAGTAAACAGTTGAGAAAGAAACAAATGTTTTTTTCGGTTAATGCAGTCAGTCTTAAGGAGACAGCACACACCTAATATCATATGCTGTTGTTTGTCATTAACAAAACAACAAAATACAGCTTTAACAGAGATGAAACTATTTCATTTCTACAGTGAAATTAAATAGGTTTTTTTTGATGATCGAAAAATGATCCGAGGCTCAAAAAATGTTACGGAGTCGAACCGTGAACTCGGCGCCCTGCTCCACCACTAGTGCTGATCACATGGTGTACCTCTGGATGGTGTTGCTCTGTTTGCTGATGGAGAGCGCTCTGGCCTTCTTTGATGTCGACGGCGCCTTCTTTGAGGCCTTCTTCTACAGCAGACACATTAAAGAGAAACAGAGTTAGGCTTCTGTACACAAAGCGTTTTCTTAGACGCAAATAACTACAGCGTAAACAGTAAAGCATAAGTCTCGGGAGGGAAAGGTCACGAGTTTGACTCCTAGGGAATGCATTAACTGATAAAAAGTTGAATTTGTCTGTTAAATGCATAAATATAAGCTTAGACTACGCTACCGCTAATGTCAAGTCAAGACATCATCTATACAGTGCTGTAACAGTACTCTAGTTCTGCTGTAAAGCCTAAACACTCTGTTACTGTAATCTCCTGTTATCACTGTAAAGCTGCTGTGAAACACCTGTAAAGTTATTGTCCAGATAAAGTTAGTTTTGATTGATTCACTTCTGTTGTAAAGATCATCAGTTATTACCTTAGCATCAGTTATTAACTTACTTAAATTCTGTCAGTATTTACTAACTCTCATGTTGTTCCAACCCCATAAGACCTTAGCTCATCTTCGGAACACAAATTAAGATATTTTTGATGAAATCTGAGAGCTGGATCACTCCTGCATAGTAGTCCATAGGCTTCTTGAGAAATTGAAACTTGCCACCCTCGAAAAGTTATTAAAGACATCATTAAATTAGTCCAAGTGACTTCAGTGGCTCAATCTTAACTTTATCATGCGACGAGAATACTTTGTGCGCAAAAACAAACAAAAATAACTACTTAATTTCAACTATTCACTTCCTTCTCTATGAGCCTCTAATCAGTCAACAGTGTGATAGCTTAGCGCTGCGTCACATATAGGCTCACTATTGGCTGACGCTGGTAGTGTGTGATGCGTGTGATGTACAATAACAAAAGCTTACGTTATTAAACTAGTAACCTGACTCGAGGCAGAGAGAGAAGTAAATGAATAGTTGAAATAAAGTTGTTAATTTTGTTGTTTTATGCACACAAAAAGTTCTCGTCGTTTGATAAACTTAAAAGTCCTATATGTAACTATTTTTATAAAATGAATCCTTTTTTTATTGCCCATGTTTGAAAGGGTTGTAATAACACATTGCAATGATCCACTTTTCGGGTTTTGCCATTACCTCTGAAGGCCAATATTCATATTTATATGTGAAGTCTCCGGGTCGGATTTCCTGCAAAATCCATCAGTTGTGACGTGCGTGCGTGCTCCCGAGCCTCTCTAAATAAGGACATTGACTACCGGTCCAAAACTTCGAGCAATCCGCCATTATTATTTCTCGCTCCAATTTTGTAGTCCGAGCTCAATGATGCAGAGGTTACGAGAGGGCAAGTCAAAATGTTTGGTTTTTGGATGTAGTGACCTGAAGCACTTCAAGGATTCCCACTTCAACAACCTCCGCCAGTATAAAGAAGGGTTTGCCGATTGACTTCATCTGAATGAGAGGTAAATTCCTTCTATCTTTTCCAGACGACGAACAGAGCATTTCGATAAGCTGTAAATATCGTTAATAAAAATAAAGTACTTTACTTTCTTAAAACACATGGTGGTCATGGTTTAGCTGTACCTTTGTCTTTCTTTGTTTTTGTTTTGAAGTAAAGTTACACGTCTGGAGTATTATTGTTCTTGAGTTTCATCAATGGTCATTTAGCTGCTGTGTTTTCTGATGCTTTTCTAAACGTATCATATTATCAATACAGATTATTTGTGGTAAGATTAGACCGTAGTCATTTATCTTGTCAGTGTGCTTGTTTTAACAAGAGAAAGTCGACTTTCACTAATAACACAAAACAGTTAACTCACATACCAATACATCCATATGAAGAGGTTGTTCTGCAGGTTCGTCGTCTATCAAACTCGCTCGCTCTGGCTCGAATATGTAACAGGGTTTTTCCTGCATAGACAATTATGAGGCGGCCGCCTCCATCAAATTTCGGGCCGCCTCCGCCTCTCGACAAAACTCAAGTCAGGGAATCACATGATTAGATCCCTCTTTTCCACAGACACGGTTCCGCTGCGGGTTCACGGCCTGTGTCCATTCTCAAACCGTTCTGTGCATTTCGACGGCATCAGAAAAAGCATTTAAACTTTCTGGTTTCGATCGGAGCAAGGTAAATTTCTGTGAAACCGCACGAGCTGCTGCTCCTCCCTCTTTTCAGCATCTCCTGTCAGTCATCACAACCACCACAGACGCACGCAAGTCAAGAAGCACCTTCCTTCCGCAGCATCGAAGTGCCTTCACTTGTCACAGCCAGGTACCAATAGTGATTTTCTTAAGCTTTGGCTTTGTTGTGAAATTAACACTTAGTTACTTAAAATATATCCATAGAGCCAGTCTGACTTAGGCAATAGTCCAACATTTTTCTGGCGTTTTTATAAAATAAGCTATCACAAGTAACTTAGCAGGCACGTAATTTACTACTGTTTTGTAATTTCATGGCTTATTAATTTACATTGCATAAGTTAGTATTTTTTTTTTTTGCGCTTTATTTACATTCAAGTGATATACAGGGCTTGTCAGATGTTAACAGCTCAGTAACATCTGACAGTAGGGTTGCCGCGGTGAGGAAAATTTCCCACCGGTTAATCGACGTGTGACAACACCGGTAATCCCGGTGTCACCGTGGAGGGCAGGGCGGGGGGGTTAAATTGCTTTTAAATGCGTGCGTGTTATACTTTCACTTTCGAAATAAGCGTCAATTGCTTGAATGGACAAAAAAAACAACTCGCTGATAATAAAACTTTTATTTATAGACTTTTATTAGCATAACGAACGAATAAAAATAACCCCATGCATAGGCTGAAAAAAGCGTCAATTGCAATTCAGCGTCAATTGCTGGAATGGAGAAAAAAAAAAAAAAAACAACTCGCTGACAATAAACTTTTATTTAGACAGCACTTTTATTAGAATAATAAACGAATAAAATATAGACAGAACTTTTATTAGCATAACGAACGAATAAAAATAACCCAGTGCATAGGCTGAAAAAAGTGAAAATCGGCAAACTGTGGGGCCCCCCAAAAAAAAAAAAACGTTTATTAACGAATAAGAAAACAAAATAGGCCTAAATAATTAAACAAAGTTTAAATAAGATAAAACCAAATAAAAAGAGACGAATATAATAAAAACTTTAAAAAGGACCTTAGCCTACATAAATGACAGCACTCTAAAAAAACAGTAAAACACTATAATTGGCATTTATTAACATTACATATATATTGGCCAAAATTTGCCAAACAGGCGCTTTTGCATTGCGTTTTGACACCAAATCTTCCGCCATTATCTTGCTTTTCTGTATTTGACTCGTTTCGTCTCTCACGCGTGCTACAATGGAATCCTGATGCTTGCTGATCTGTGACGTGACGGCACGCGTTGCGCAGTTCATTTTTAATATAAGCTCTCTTCGAACTAAATAATTGAAAATTATTATTTTTTAATTAATAAATAAAATTTTAGCAAAAACGAATACTTTAAAAAAAAAAAGTCAAGACATCGCGGTGTCACGGTGGGAAAGTGATGTCACCGGTGATGGGGCTTAAAACCGGTAACACCGTCAACACCGTCTATCGCGGCAAGCCTATCTGACAGGACAGGAAAGTTAGTTTTTCTGAGGTGAGGAAACTTTATTTCGAAATAAGTTACGAAAATAATGTTAGAATAATGAAACTGACATAGCCTGACAACATCTCATCTGACAGCAGATACTGAATCAGGTACAAAGTGTTTTTTTCTCAGGACTCAGGAGAGTGATGGGGAGTCACGTTAGCCTCTGCAAGATGGCTACAGGTATAAAAAATTTAAATTTAAGACTTAAGACTTTAATACCACTTCTAAATTAAAGATCAAACTTACAATGGAAATATTACTGTATATTTTCAGTTTTAATTTATATTTCCAAGTAAACACACTGTCTGTTCAAAAATATGGTAAAATGACAATAACCAATTGTCAATTCCATACGTGCGGTCCCCTGTGGTGGAGTACAGTGGAGTGAAAAGAAATATAGAAGGCATTTTTATAAATGTCTTAAAAATAATAAAGTATATTAATAAAGGCTTAGATTTAATTCACCAATAAAGTATATTAATAAAGGCTTAGATTTAATTCACTAATAAAGGCATAGAACCAGTTTATTTATAGTGTACTGATAATAGTTTCATATTAGTTTGTTAATTTAACTAATAAAAAAAACTGAGATATGTTTGGTTATTGTACCTTTTAAGTAATAAATAAAAAATAATTTGCTATATTTCAGATCAATATATTTATTTTCCTTAATTTTAATTAACCCTAACTTTATTCTCATCATAAGAATTATAAATAATTGATTTCTGTATAAAATAATACTACAAACACTTAAAAATAAACAGATTAGTGCCCTGTTTTGGGTAGGGTGACCACCCGTCCCGCGTAGCGCGTGCACGCACAGCGTTTGAAGCCCAATTCATGCGTCCCGCAAATTGAAACCGTGTCAGGCATAATCAATGCTTCCTCAAAAAAAAAAAAAAAAAAAAAAAAAAAGTCAGTCTATATCCTCAAAACCCAGGCAGCCAAACGTTGTGCCTGAACTCGTTCACGTTCATGAACTTGTTCATATTTTGGGTGAACTGAACGCATTGTTTTACTGCCTGTCCTGATTAACGTGTGAACTTGTTCATTCTGGTGTCTGTGAAGTGAACGCACGCTCTCTCAGTTTAACTTCGTTCAATGGGGTGCCAGATTTCTATAGAGCCTTCCAGGCGAAAACCCGGCTAAAACTCAACTTAAACAGGGCTTAATATTTAGCGAAAAAAACACCCAATCTGGCAACACAAGCCACCAGTGTCGCACCGCGGCCGCCGTCGACAAAAGCGTCATATGATAATTTAAACGGATTTTATAACGAGGTCGGTGAAGATGGGAAAAATCTTAAATTTCTGTGCAAACTTTGAACTGAACTAGTTCATTTTAAAATGTGTGAACTGAACTTTGAACTAGTTCAGAAAGTGAGAACTTCCCCAAGACTGGTTGCCACTCCCACGTGACCTGCTGATTAGGTTGTCAACTTTTTCATTGTTGTCATGACAGCACACCTTGTCCTGCCGTGAACCTCTGGAGTTGTGAGTTTAGACTTTTTTTCGACTTTTTTTTAAAACTGTTCCTGTGGTGTTGAGCAACTATAATTCCTGTTAATCCTATAATTTTATATTTTTATTTATTTAAAGTGAATTAATTGTAATGAAAAATAAATAAAATTAAATGGCTAAAGTAAATCGTAAGTGGAAGTGCATCTGTCAATTCATTGAATGTTCAAAATATTCATTTTATTTAGAAAATGGCCTATTCATGAGCATATATCAGCAATTACACATGTTTAGGGAATAGGACATTATTAATGTATGTGCTTTTTTTTGAACAATTATTCATGTACAAACAGTAAGGCAATAGTAACAATTCTAGATATGGGTAAACCACTATCAGAGACTGCCCGTGGGATGGGGGCACCGCCGCGCCAAGCAGTGTCCCACATTGTCCCTCAGAAACATACCCCTTGTCCCCCCTTGGGCTTATTAGCAGGTGGTCACCCTAGTTTTGAGGACAAGAAATGAAAACCAATGGGATATGATGAATGTCCGAAAGATGGAACTCTGTAACGGCCACCTAGTGTTCAGTAGTGTTCATGACATGTTGATAAGACTTTACTTACTTAGGATTTACTGTAATAACACCAGAGCCCATCACTAACTGTTACCATGGAAGTTTAGCAGGTAGCCTATAATGCTTTCAAGTAACATCACGTTGGTTTTATTTTGACATTGTGAGTACAATTGCTGCCCTCAAATGTTAATCTGAACTAAAATAAACCTTTGTTTATAACTACAACAATATTACATTTCATTTTGTCCAAGGAGCAGTTTTGCTTTATATGCTCCTCAGAAAAGTCAAGTATAGCTCCATCATTGCTCAAAGTTAAAAAATATCATACTTTGATGTTAGTTTTAATAAAAATATAATGAGAAAAAAAAAATTCTCTGCCATTTCTTTCTTTTTGCGGTATTGGAAATGTACCGAACCGTATCGAACCGAACAGTGACACAAGTGTATTTACGAACCGTGAATTTTGTGAACTGTTACACCCCTAATGCTTATGTAAATGCAATAACTTTAGACATGACTTGAAAGCCTGTTATGTAGATTAAAAAACCCATGCTAGCACAAACCTTCTTCACCGTAGACTTCAGAGGAGCGATGTTTTCACCCTCTGAGTTTGCACCGTTCTTAGCTTCTGCAAATGAGGTGAAAGAGGAAATCAGCTTTGAGAATGCAGGAGAGTATGTTTTTCAAGATGACGGAGGATACAAAAAGTACCTTTTCCTGCGCATTTGGGAATCGCATGATTCTCAGCAATAGCAAGCTCCACTTGAGCAGCCCCTTCCCTCAACTAGAGAGAGAGAGAGAGAGAGAGAGAGAGAAAGTTAAAATCAAGAACAATGATGGATTTGGCAAACATTGGTGTAACTTGTTTAGTGGATGTACCTTTGAATCGTCCACTTGTGATTTTGGCTTCTCTAAATCTAAAGGTAAAATGAGAACCGTGAGTCAGAATATCAAAGTACAGTTACATTATATTCGTATTGCTTTGCTGTTTTTCCATTTGTTTACATTATTATGCATGCTCTAATGACCATAACTGAGAGACCAACTTACATGGACTACTATATATATATATATATATATATATATATACATACATACATACACACACAGGGTTTCCGCGGGGTTGTAAAAGGTAGTAAATTAAATTATACCAAATTAAGGCCAGTAAAAAGTAGTAAACGTCATCTGACGAGGTAGTACATTTTCGAAGCCCCATCTAACTGGGTCTATATGGTTTTCAATTAGGGTAATTTACGAGTGCAGGCTAGGCTTGCCGCTAGGGATGTGCTAAAAAAAAAAAAAAAAAAAAAAAGATACAGCAATATATCGCAATTTTTATATTCATGATATACAACATCGATTTCCAGCTCAAAACATCGATGTAAAAAATAATCATCACGTTTTAAACGGGGTGTGACCTGGTGAACTATAACATCCGTTCCTGTTGATGTCGCAGAATGGCAGCTTTAGTTTCCTTCAACTTGCTGTCCTGGGTGTGGCCGTGGGTGCCTGGACGGGCACCATAGAGCGCCAATTTCAGTAGTGAAAGCTGCAAGCCACATGGCAGGCGCAGCCGACAAAATTGCTTCGGCCCCTTCGCAATATAAAGCCGATGTGTGGGTGCACTTCGGTTTTAAAAACAAACCAGGGAGATTGTACTTGGATAAAACAAACGCAATATGCACGCTTTGTCACGCTGCTATCAAATATTCAGGTAACACAACTAATTTACGAACGCACCTCGTCAGACGTCATGCAGAAATAATGTTGAAAGAGAAGCAACCGAAACCTGGCGACCAGAAGCAGACTACACTGCATAACAAACTTCCATCTAACTCAGCTCGAGCTTTAAAAATAATAAGAGTCGTTGGTGCATTTCATTTGTCATGATTTGCGGCCATACAGTGTCGTTGACAACCGTGGCTTGAGGTATATGGTAAACACAATGGAGCCGCGCTATGTGATCCCGACTCGCAAACACATTACCGAGGTAGCTGTGCCCAGGATGTATGAAGAGGTGAAGCAAGCTGTAAAAGCATCTCTTGGCTCAGCAGAATTAGTGGCCTTAACATGCGATGGCTGGACATCGAGGGCAAATGAATCGTACGTTACAATCACGGCGCACTACATCAATGAGAATTGGGAACTGATTTCTCATGTTTTGCAGACGAGGGCAATGCATGAGAGCCATACTGGCAGTAACATCGCCGAGGTGTTGGAAGATGCATTAGAGGAATGGGATATAAAAAGCAAGGACCCCGCGGTTGTCACTGACAACGCGTCGAACATGACCGTTGCAGCGCAGATAGCTGGTATGCTGCATATTAAATGTTTTGCGCATACTTTGAATTTGGCTTCACAGCGCGCACTTCAACTAACACCAGTCGCGCGTTTGCTGGGAAGAGTGAGAAGAATAACTAACTTTTTCAGACGCAGTACCATAGCCAGCCATGTACTGCATGAAAAACAAAAACTTCTAAATCTGCCTCACCACAAACTGCTCACTGACGTAGTCACCAGATGGAATAGTGCACACGACATGCTGCAGCGCTTCCTAGAACAGCAGCCAGCCATCCATGCTGCCCTCCTCTCAGCTGAGGTGAGGAAGAAAGAGAAGGACATCTGCACCCTCAGTGAGGCAGACATAACAGCTGCTGAAGAAGTGGTCACTGCTATGAAGCCCATGAAGGTAGCTACACTAGTCATGCCAGAAGAGACCACTCCAACACTTTCAGTTGTAGCACCACTCCTTGCCCAGCTGACCCATGACCTACAAGACAGCCCAACAGATTCCAACTTAGTGAAGGAAATAAAATCTGCCATGTGCCAGGATCTCAAAAAGAGGTACTTGAACAAGGAGACGCTTTATGTGGCCACCGCTATGGATACGAGATTTAAGGCCCTGCCCTTCCTGTCAGAAGACCAACGCCAGGACATCTATGCTACAATCCTTGCAGAAGCTACAGGGAGCAAAGCATTACAGGTAAGATAAACAATGCCATATCATAAAACATACTGTTGTCTTGTCAAGATTTATCTACATTTATAAGTAGTCATTCAAATTTTCAGTATTAAAATCACATACCAGTAAAAGATAGGCAAACATCTTGGCCTACAGTATAGTGTAAGTGTATAGTGTAGTTTGTTTGATATATTTAATTATTTCATTGTACTGGAATTAAAGGGATAGTTCACCCAAAAAATACAATTCTGTCATTATTTACACACCCTCATGTTGTTTCAAACCTGTATGCATTACTTTCTTCTGCTGTGAACACAAAAGAAGATATTTTGAATAATGTCAGTAACCAGACAGTTGATGGACCCCATTGACTTATATAGTATATTTTTTCTCCCTACTATATAAGTCAAAGGGGCCCCATCAACTGTCTGGTTACTGACATGATTCAAAATATCTTCTTTTGTGTTCAGCAGAAGAAAGAAATTCATACAGGTTTGAAAAAACTTGAGGGTGAGTAAATAATGACATAATTTTAATTTTTGGGTGAACTCTCCCTTTATATACCTTTTCTCTAAAGCTAATGTTTAATTTACTTTGCTGTTTATTTCAGCAGAATGAGCTTGGAGTGGACTCAGTTGAGGCAGAGACTGATGTGAATGTGGTGCCAGAAGAGGATGAGGAAGGCAATCAAGATCTTGTGCAAAAAGACATGTCTGCTGTACCATCCAAAAGATCCAGGCATTCTCTAGCTGACCTACTTGGTCCAACATATGCTAAAGCACCAGCAAAGAAATAGAAAACTGGAGAGGACCAGGCCAAGGAGGAGATATCTAGATACAAAGAGGAGGCTCCCCTGCCGCTTGGTGTTGTCAATCCACTGGACTGGTGGAAAGGGAATCAGAGCAAGTATCCTTTCTTGTCACACATGGCAAAGAAATAACTGTGTATTCCGGGGACTAGTGTGCCCTCAGAGAGTGTTCTCTACTGCATGGGACATTATTACAGCTCAGAGGAGTGCACTTACCCCAGAACATGTTGATCAGATTCTGTTCCTAAACAAAAATCCGAAGTCAAAATAGGCCTGGCATGGAACCAATGCATTTAAGTGTTCATATAAACGTTTAATGGACACACATGCAAAAATCATTTGTTGTATTTATGGTTACATCACACTGACTATTTTAGTTTTATTAACGTTGTTTACAATATTTCACTTCATTGTTTACATGGACAGTACCTGAGTATCTGCACTTTATTTCCATGTTTTGTTTTTTCAAGTTCAGCCCCACATAACCTCAGTGAGTAAACTTAACTGTGCAGTGTGCACTAAACTTTAATTTAGTTTTAAATATCTAATGCACTTTATTTTAACGTTTTTAATGTGGCCATTGTTAAAAGTGTGTCCATTGTTAAAATTTCAAGTCTATTTTGTATTAAATTGTTTTGACTCAATTCTTCTGCTGATTTATCAATATGATCTGCTGTAAGACTACTCAGATGGCACACCGTAACTTGTATTTAGGGCCCAAGCCCTGAAAGGGCGAAGGCCCTATTGTTTTCCTAAGAATTATTTTTCTTTAGTATTATTATTTTACTACCTTTTTGGCACTTTTGGAGCCCTTAACATGCTCAAAAACTCTTGAAACTTTGCACACGGGTCAGAACCCGCGGCCATCAGAGCCGGGCTGAAGCTGGTACCTGGGCGTGGCAGGGGGGCTCGTCAGCGCCCCCTGGAACGGGGTCCGAACACTCGGTCCATAACTCAAACACGCTTGCATGTAATAATATGAAACTCGGTACACATGTTGATCTCATCGTTTCATCTATACCTCGCGCTCTTACTTTTTACCCCAGCCCAACAGGAAGTCGGCTATTGCGGTTTGTTTGTAAAACGCTCGCAATGGTATTTGAAATACTCCTCCTAGAGCTTTGATCCAAATTCGACGAAACTCGGTCAGCGTGAAGTCAAGACATTGAGGATGAAAGTTTGCGAGGGGATTTTTGATATCTCGAACGGTTTGTCCGTGGCGAGGAAATGAAATCATGGCGAGAAACGTGAAACAGGAAGTGTGTTAAAACTTCAGCATACATTAACTGATCTTGATGAAACTTCAGCAGTGTGTTCGCTGTAAGAGGACGATCACATGGATGTGACTATTGTGAGTCAAAGTTATAGCGCCACCAACTGGCAGCAGGAAGTGTGTCACTTTCAAAATGCTTTGAAATCACCCTTTTATTTTTACCCGATTTGCTTCAAACTTCATCTGTATAATGTAAACATAGGGCAGATGTAGACCTGTGAATGGATTCTTGATATCTTTGAAACTGTTGCCGTGGCGACGCATCAAACTTTACCATTCTTTTAGGATGCTTTTGAGACCCTTAGCATGCTTTAAATTGCATGAAACTCGACAGACACATCACATTTATTAGCCAGTAGACATGTGCAAAGTTGCAGAAACGGGCGTGGTGAGGGCTCAGTAGCGCCACCTTTTGACAAAAGTGGGGTTGTTAGTTTTATCTACAGTTACAAAAATCGGTATGTATATTGTACTCCTCGAGCCGGACAACTTTCTAATTGACACTCATTAGCTAGGACCCACAGAAAGTCAGATATGTTTGTTTGAATGTAGAGAAAATCTCAGAATTTTGCCAGTGTCTCAGTGTCCCTCTGTGTGAGTGAGAGGAGGGGCGCCTGTCAGGTTAATTTTAACCCTTTATTTGCTGTGTGCGACTTCTCTGGCATTTTCGGGGGCCTTAACATCCTCGAAAACTCTTGAAACTTTGCACACGGGTCAGAACCCATGGCCATCAGGGCCGGGCTGAAGCTGGTAACTGGGCGTGGCAGGGCGGCTCGACAGCGCCCCCTGGACTGGGATTTGAACATTTGACCATAAATCAAACACACTTGCATGAATTAATATGAAACTCGGTACAATTATAGATCACATCAGGCCAAACAACTTTCGTGCTC